ACAAACTAAGTTTAATAAAGGAGTAGGTGTTGAGTCACAAATGTAAGTAAAATCTTCAAGATGTCCTTGCACTACCAGTTTAAGTTTCTGCTCTAGCAATATTGTTAATCACAATGCTTCCCTTATGAAGAGAACCAAACATCCCCTACAGGAAACACTTCCATACTTACGCCCAAAAACAATTACTTAGGGCATAAAGTAAATATACGATCTAAAAGGTGGCAGAATTTTGGGTGTGAGTAATGCACACAAGTCCATTAGATTCAAATTGCCTCAAATCTTCATAATTATCTATTCAACTCCCTGTCTGAACACTATTCCACCCAAAATAATAGGCCTTTCCTCGCTTGCAAACATTAGGGGCAGCAAACAGCATAAACAGAGTAGCCAGGACATAAAAAGCAAGCAAACCGTGGCAACGGACAAGTCATAACCTATAATACCCACTGAAAATTTGTCCTCCGTTCTAAGATCTGTGCAAAGTGTGTGGTTAAAAAGAACATTTGCCTGCCTTTGCAAGAAATTCAAAGATGCAGCCAGAGGCTACAGCGTAGAACTACCTAATAAAAGAAGGACAGCAATATGGAAAAAACAGCAAGAATGTACCATAAACCTGCACAAACGTAAGCTAATGACAAAGTTCACAGGTACACACACCTGAATCGAGACCCAGAATGGAACAACCTTCAACCAGGAGATGAACAGTCTTTCCACGTCAATCTAAAATCAATAAATTTTGCTCTAGAAAACTGACAAACACTGAGTTGAAGGTTGACACAGAAGCTAGTGCAAATATTACACCACTCCAAATTCTGAAGGACAAGCACTGGGACAATTAGAACTCAACGGTACAGCCAACAAATGTTAACTTAACTGCATACAATGGGTTGCCAATCCCTTGCATTGCCATACTAACAAAGTAAGTTGCTTTGACAAATCACCATGGAAGCCACAAATATTTTACCTGGTAGAGACAAAAAGATTGGCAGTGGCAGGATGACCAGAATGTACGGCTCTCATCATTTTGACTATCCAGTAGATCGCCTAGGTAGCCATGGTAAAGAAAAGCCAAAGAATACTCGATATGCACAATCTAGGATTTACAGTCAGGTTTGGTGCCATAGGAAATTTTGAACACCACGATATATTTCACCATAGAGAAGATCAATTCAGTCAATTGGCCGTCTCAGAAAATGTAGCGTTTACAATAAAGAAGCGATTAAGTGCAAAATGGATGACACAAGGTGCAAGGCATCATCTGCATTAAGGATCATCACACAGGCTGGTGTAACTTAATTATGTGTGTACAAAAGAGTGATGGTACAGTCAGGGTATTCTAGATCCTAAACATCTAAAGCTGTCCCCAAAGAGATGCCAACACAAGATTCCAACACTAGAGGAATTGAATCCCAAGTTCCCAAGAGCCAAATTCTTCTCCAGATTAGATGTCAAATATTGGTTGGTGCACTTAATCAGGGAATCTCAGAAAGTCACTACCTGAAGAACACCATTTGGAAGATATTGATTCCAGGCACTATCTTTCAGATTATCTGTCTTCAAGATCTGTTCCAGAGGCACATGGACAGAATTACAGGAAGAGTGCCTGGATGCACATGCATTGCGGATGGACAAAACTAGCACGATCAGAACTTTCACTCACTGTGGCAATTTTACACTGCAAAAAAAGTGGGACGCGAATGTACGTCCAAACAAGTTTTTCGATCTATTGCTCAGGTTGTGGAATCTATCCCGGGCCAGGCAGAGTTAAAGATGCAACACAAATGCCTACCCCACAAAACAAAGAAGACTGTTAGAAATGCCTTGGATTCTTCAATTTCTTTGAATTTCTCTAAATTTTGGTCTTCTTTTGACAAAAAACTTTCATTGAAAGTGATCCTAAAGAAATCAATGCCATTTATATGGCAGAAGGTACAAAAATACCAAAAAGAATTGTCAGCAGAAGACAGCACCCTGCAATACTATGATCCAAGGAAGATGACAATTCCGGAATTTGATTCTTTGCAGATTAGTTTAGGAGTGTGTATCATGCAAGATGACCAAGCAATTGCATTTCAAGTCTATTGCAAGCACAATCCAAGTATTGATGATAGAGTGTGGAGTACTTGCTCTTGTCTTTGGTATCACATAATTCCACATAGTAAGTAATTCACTGCAAAAACCAATCATAAACCATTGGAAATTATTTGGCACAAACGACTGACAAAAAAAAAACATCAAGTAGACCACAGCAACCTCTGGTTAAATTACAGGCTAATAATGACTTTGACATCTACTATAACCTTGGTAACAAAATAGTCGCCTCAGATATGCTGACCAGATTGCCAAACCTAAACAAGGATATAAACATTTTACTGGATCTACAAATCAACAGCATGGACATTGAGCTGGAAGATGTGCTCAAAACTGATCTATCACATTTTGGTCAGCGTAGCTATAACCAGCTTCAAGTGAAAACAGCTAACTACCAATAACTGAAGGCACAGTGGAAGGTTATCACTGAAGATTGGCTTGACATGATTAAAGAGCTGCCAGATACTCTCAGATGCTTTTGAACTTATAGAGCTAAGCTTGGTATCACAAGAGAAATAATCTTCAAGGGTAAACCAGTACCTGTGCCCAAAACCCACTGTCAGGAAAAACTGCTGCAACTTGTGGTAATGCTATAGCTTTAAGTGGTTATTTTGTCCTGATTTCTTTTAAGATAGAAATTGAACAAGAGGTATCGATCTGGTTAGTTAATACCACTTGAGTAAACAGGTTGGGAGGCCTTAGGTTTTATTTTAAACAGCCTGAACGGGTGTGACAAGTTCTCATAGATTAGGATTTCTGGGTTGTGGTTTTTCAGTAGTATAGAAGCTATTGGGGTCTCAACAGAGTTGGAAGCTTCAGTGAACTTCTCCTGACTGCTACTCTCTCTGAATTTTCTCTGGGTGTTTTTTCCCTCCTGGATAGGAGAACTGCATGTGAGAATCTGAGAGTGAATTTTCCTTTTATGACAAGGGATGTGTTTATGGAAAGTTACTATATTGGAACAGTTAATTTAATAATAGTTACTGTATATATTATTCTGTAAGCTTTCCTTTAGAGCTAAATTATTCTAAATTCCTCTTTCTTTGATTATATTTTAACTACAGTGGTTGAATAAATTTTGTTTTGCTTAAAATCGAGTAGTTTGATCAGTCGCATTGCATCCAGAACAGACACTTTACACTTCCCTTTAAGGTAAGAAAAAATTAGGATCTGGGCTACCTTCTTAAAATATTTTGAGGGGGTCTAGTCTGGTCTATAACAAACTATACCAACTCCCACATACAAATTTATGTCATAAGAATATTTAATTGTTCACTTAATTCTTTTATCTAAATATTGATAAATGTGGAAAAGAGAAATGGACTTGTGGAAAATCTGCATTCTAACAACCTCATCTAGAGATAGATAGCTTTGTGAAAATATACACTGCTATCTAACCCTATGTTTTAATGTCTGGCACTGATTTCCCAAAGTAGTCCTCTTACTTTCTGTCACAAATATCTACCTAGCCTGTTCACCCAAGGAGAAGCCAGTATACAGTTAATAACTTATTTAGATTAAGAATATTACCATGGACTAGGACCTGTCCTGTACAATGCACTTCTTTAGGAACAGTGGTCAGTGAAAACTTTGAATTTCAGGCCAATTAATTTGAATTTCATTTTATGTCAGGAACAAGACAGAAGGAATGGAGATATTCTGTGTTGTCCCTCTGATAAATGCAACAAACATGCCCTGCTTCATCTTTTTGGTGGAATCTTTTGAAGAAGTAATAAAGTTGGTGGATGATAAAAAATGATAGTAACTAGTGTTCATCATGGTTTGCCAAAAAAAATCTCTACCAAGGCATTAGACAGAAAGATTTTGCATGAAGGTTGTGTCCTGTAGGATTGACAGTCAGATTATAAACTATTCAACAAATTGATTACATTCAAATAGAAAAGTGCAGCTATTGATGATAGCTATGATTTTAAACTTAGTCTTGATTTTATATGAAAATAGGATTCTTTTACTTGGAAAGTTTCAATAACATTGACCTCATGGACAGAAGGGACACTATGCATAGTGAAGGATTTTAAACTAGGTAAATTGTATTGTGCTGTAGAGGATTTTCTGTTGGCATTGCACCAGATAGCATAGAAACTGACAACTCTGTCCATCATGGTTCTGCTGGCTTTCTGAAAGAGCTATCCATACTTATGCTCTTTCCCAGGATCTCTTTATGTATAAATAAAATTTCCCCTTGAAAATTACTGCAAGACCTGCTCCCATCACCCTTTCAGGCACTGTATTAAATTGCTGAGTAAAAATGTTTTCCGATATATCACTGGTTGAAGAATATTGTATCACTTTTGTGCTTTCATTTTTTAAGGATGGAAGCAGGAAAAGTGTAATTAATGAGGTCACCTGTAGTATGAATGTGTGATCATTTCAACCTATTAGGAATTTACCCGTGATGTCCTGTAACCTTATTTTCTTCAATTTCATTAGATATGAAAACAGTTTCTATAATAGGCATAAAATCTGCTCATGGAGGAAGGTGGCAAGACTGAATGTAGTGCTCAGATGAAGTAGAATTAGATAGGACGAGATAGTTGAAGCGGGACATACAGATTTAAAATTATAAAATGCATCTCTGTAAAAGAGACTGAGAATCTAGGATGTGCAAAATTTGAATCATTACAATACTACTGTTGGGAGCGAATGATTGCACAATAACAAAGTAATACACATCAAAATGTTTCAACTTGTCTTGTATGCATCAAAATACAGTTCTAGTATGTTCATTTCTGCATATTATTATTTACAGGATTTTGTTTAGAAACAGACATTTTGTCAACAGGTGTTGCAGACAGATGCAAGATTTTTAATAAATTAAAAATGTTTGCTTTGTCACCACACACTCTTCTAATTAAGCCAGAGTATTAAAGACAAAACTGTTGCGTTACCTCAGTACGTAGATCAGCTAATTTCCTATCCATGTTAGACCTAGCTCCAACTTCATCTTCCAGATCTTCTGAGATCCTTCCAAGCTCATTCTGATGGGCATCACGAAGGAGGGTCAACTGGGTGACAGAAATAATAACATACACTTTAATATAGTCACCAGAGTTGGCCTCAATTAATCATGTTTTGTCGGAGACTGGGCTGAACATTTATCATGCAACTCCCCAAAGCAATCACAGATGGCTTCCCGCAATCATATTGATTTTTTCTATCCAATTATGTAAAACATGCAACTTCCTACTTTTGCATAATACAGCTTTTCAATTGCTATTAAAATCAGACATTTTGTGAACCAGATTTATGATTTACTTGGCATTGGGCAAAAATTCAATAATGCAAAAACAGAATCACAAGGTAAGAGAATGAAAATTTTGCATGTTAGCCCCATGGTGTCATGCATTAATGATTAGAACACAGTTTGGCACAGCAAAATTCAATTTGCAGCCCTGATTAATGTGAAAATTCAGATTTACTCTGACCAGAAAGTTGCAGATGTTAACTGTATTTGGATTAACCTCAGATGATCTGACATGATACTGACCAGAGATGAGGTGGACACCATGAGACAATTAACAAGCATTTCAACTCTGACCATATTCCAGGCATGGCAGTGCCTGCCAACAGGCCAAACCAATGATTCTGAACTGTTCTGACGAGGGAGCTTTGTTCTAATTTTATTTTAAAACTTGTTCAAGTTTGCTGTTTCTTACCTATTCCACCAGCTGGGAGTCACAATGTGAAAAAAAAGTGAGAAAATAAAACCAAGTTATTTTTGATCCCCATCTGAAAATGCAAGCAAGTAGAATGGAATGACAAAAAATGGAGAATAATGAAAAACGAAATAATATTAACATGGACAATTAATAATTTTTGCAAGAAAGATATCTGCCCCATTTTAACCATAAAAATTCTGTAACCTAAATGGTGGTGCCTAGGATAATCTAACCATTTGTTTGCTACTAAGAGTGAAACAATCCTTTGACAGAAAGCCTATTCTTGGCTAATTATCCCAAAATTATGGTAGTGATAATAATTTCAATTCTGCAAGAAATTAAAAACTGATAATCAAAGGTCAAACATAACTACAACAACTTGACTGCGACTCATTTTTGCATAGTGCATTTCTGTTTAACTACATGTATATCAAATACCATTAAAAATGCCCATTTATTAGTCAAGTATCACATATTTTGTACCATATGACACACTTGAGATTTGGAGAACTATTAGGAGCCATTGATATCAACCAAGCCACAAGAAACAATAATTTTTACTTCTTGTAAACAAACTGGTAAATATATTGCATGTACAGTCAACATAAAGCCATCAACCCATAAATTTCACAGGGAAGTTCTCCCTGTTTCCTGCTGAAACTGAGCAAGAGACAAGGAGAAACACAAAGGAAATACAATGTAACCCTGGGCTGGATTTTACAGCCACTCACTGGATGTACTTTTGGTGTGGTAGCTAGTGGCTGGGGCAAGTAAAATATGTCACGTAGTCAGCCCACCTCCTTCTATTCCACTCCTGATCCATTCCCCACACAACAAAGTAATGGGAAAAGGTGCCAACTAGACCACCCACAATTAGGTCCATTGAGGCTTTTAGTTGTCCAATTAGTTGGCAATTAAGCTCCTCAATGCACCTCCACTGTCATAAACACACAAGCACTGTACAAATTTAAAAGCAGCAGGTATCCAACATAAAAAGATGACAAAAAAGTATACAGTTTAAAGAGCTTTTAAGTGTCTTTGAGGTATAAGGATTTAACCTGAGACCAAAGGTGCTAAGTTGATTTTCAAAACTATCAATACTGTGTAACGAGAAGGGAATCATTACCAATCTAACTGTGCAAGACCCCTTGGGTCAAGATGGACAGTGAGGTTGTTGATTCGGAGACTAGGGTGCTGAATCTTAATAAAGGAAACTATGAATATATGAGGCGTGAGTTGGCCTTGATAGATTGGAGAGAGCTACTTAAAGGGATTTCAGTGGATAGACAATGGCAAACATTCAAGGAACACATGGGGGAACTGCAATAACTGTTTATTTCTGTCTGGCACAAAAACAAAATGGACAAGAGGGCCAATCCATGACTTACAAAGGAAATTAGAAATACATATCCGCTCCAAGGAAGAAGCATACAGATTGGTCAAGAAAAATAATATGTCTGAGGATTGTGAGCAGTTTGGAATTCAGCAAAGAAGGAACAAGGGATTGATTAAGAAGGGGAAATACAGTACGAAAGTAAGCTTACAGGGAACATAATGACTGACACTAAGAGTTTCTATAGGTACGTGAGGGGAAAGAGATTGGTGAAGACAAATGTAGGTCTCCTATAGACAGAAACAGGGGAGTGTATAATAGGGGACAAAGAAAAAGTTGAGCAATTGAATATATACTTCAGTTCTGTCTTCACAAAAGAGGACATAAATCAGATACCAGAAATGTTGGAGAATGCAGAATTTAGTGAGAGGGAAGAACTGGGGGAGATCAATATTAATAGAGAAATGCCATTGGGAAAATTGACGCAATTGAAGGTGGATAAATCCCAAGGGCCTGATAATCTACAATCCAGAGTACTTAAGGAAGTGGCTCTAGAAATAGTGGATGCATTGGTGGTCATCTTCCAGGATTCTGTAGACTCTGGAACAGTCCCTGCAGATTGGAGGAGACCTAATGTCACTCCAATATTCAAAAAGGGAGGTAGTGAGAAAACAGGGAATTATAGACCAGTAAGCCTAACATCGGTAATGGGAAATTTCTCGAATCCATTAACAAGGACTTTATAGTAGAGCACTTAGAAAGCAGTGGCAGGATCAGACTGAGTCAAATATCGATTTATGAAGGAGAAATCATGCTTGACGAATCTGTTGGAATTCTATGAAGATGTAATGAGTAGAGTTGACAAGGGGGAGCCAGTCGTTGTGATATATTTGGATTTTCAGAAAATGTTTGACAAAGTCCCGCACAAGAGATTACCGTGCAAGATTAAAGTGCATGGGATTGGGGAAAGTGTATTGAGATGGATAGAAAACAGGTTGGCAGAGAGGAAACAAAGAGTAGGAATTAATTGGTCCTCTACAAATTGGCAGGCAGTAACTAGTGGGGTGCCACAAGGATCGGTGCTGGGACCCCAGCTATTTATAATATGTATTAATGATTTGGATGAGGGAACAAAATGTAACATCTCCAAGTTTGCAGATAATACCAAGTTGGATGGGAGGGTGATCTGTGATGAGGATGCAGAGATCCTTCAGTATGATCTGGGCAGATTGGGTGAGTGGGCAAATCAATGGCAGATGCAGTATAATTTGGATAAATGTGAGATTATTCACTTTGGAAGCAAAAACAAGGTGGCTACCCGAGTGGCTATAAATTGGGAGAGGGGAGTGTGCAGCGGGACCTTGAGCACCAGTCGCTGAAAGTAAGCATGCAGGTGCATATGCGATAAAGAAGGCAAATGGTATGTTGGTCTTCATTGTGAGGGGTTGCGAGTACAGGAGCAGGGATGTGCTGTAGCAGTTATACAGTGCCTTGGTGAGGCCACACCTGGAATATTGTGTGCAGTTTTGGTCTCCTTTTCTGAGGAAGGATGCTCTTGCTCTCAAGGGAGTGCAGCGAAGGTTTACCAGGCTGATTCCATGGATGGCAGGTCTGACCTATGAGGAGAGGCTGACCAGGTTGGGATTGTTTTCGCTGGAGTTCAGATGAATGAGGAGGGATCTCATAGAGACTTATAAAATTCTAACAGGACTCGACAGGGTAGGTGCAGGGAGGATGTTGCCAATAGTGGGTGTATCCAGAACCAGGGGTCACAGTTGGAGGATTTGGGATAGATCATTTAGGACAGAGATGAGGAGACATTTCTTCACCCAAAGAGTGGTGAGCCTGTGGAATTCATTACCACAGGAAATAGTTGATGCCAAAACATTGAATGTATCAAGAGGCAGCTAGATGTAGCACATAGGGCAAATGGGATCAAACGTTACGGGGAGAAAGCAGGATTAGGCCATTAAGTTGGACAATCAGCCAGGATTGAGATGAATGGTGGAGCAGGCTCGAAGGGCCAAACAGACTCCTCCTGCTCCTATCCTCTATGTTTCTAAGTCAGAGTATATCACAGTTATCTTTCAATTCGGTGTCTTCTTTCTAGTCAGTTTTGTTTTCGGGTTTTGCTTCACAAGGGGCAGAGAGAGAGAGTAAGAGGTCAAGACATTTTCCAGCCTGTTTCATTTCTGTCATCTGAAATCCACATCCTTCGTCTTTTTCCTAAAACAAACTCCTTGAAACGCAAGGGTGGTTGTACATCCTGGATGCTGCAGTTTTTGTTTTTCAAGCTTAATAAATGTAGGTGATGTTTTCATCTTTCACAATGTGAAGACTCTTACGATGGTGTAAATTAGATAGAAGATAAGGAGCTTTTACACTATCAATGGGATAGGGTGGTGCTGCCTTTAGATAAACGACAATTTCCAATCAGACTGTTTAATTGGTTTCAAGAAACATAATCAACTTGTATGGGTTATTTAATGTCTGTGCCCATTTTAAATCAGTGTTTTTGGTTTATTTTTAAAGTCATTACAGTCTGTCGAAGTCCTGGGTATTAAATTCTATGATGAAATTTGAAAATTACTTGTCAATATTTTATATCACTGTGACAGGAAAGAAAATAACCAACCTTATTTGTGAATCAAGATCCAGCAATGTGATTGACTATTAACTGTTTTCTCAAATGGCCCAGCAAGCCAATCAGTTCAAGGACAATTTGGGTTGAGCATCAAAAGCTGTCTTGCCAGCAGTTTCAACATACCTTTAAAGAATATTTCCTAAAAATTACAAATCAGTGGCAAGAAGGCCAATGTACAAAGAAGGTTTTTAAAAAGCATATATTTGAAAAGGAGGGAGGGCACATCAAGAGGGAATAGGCACCCGTAAAAATGTCACCACCCTATTTAATCTGGCCCACTTGGTCTCGAAAATCCACATCCCATGCCCCTTGTCCCCTTCCCAAGAGTGCCTGGTCCCTTACCACCCTAAAAAAGAGAGGATTTGCTTC